ATGTGCATGGAAAATTATGGTTATGGTAAGAAGCTTTAATGGCGCTCTCAGTTAAGTAAGCAGCAAGAAAACTGTACAACATTTGTTCAGTTGTCACATATTCAAGATTGTATTTCACTAAGACAACAGTACAAACTGATAATAAAAATAAGTTAATAAAAGTATGAAAATTGTATTGTTAACATGTGAAAACATTATTTTTCAATAAAAGTTTGGTACTGTTTTTCTTTGCTCATCTGATAATAATATGGTGTGGCACAGAAAATAAGAGTGCATAAAATACACTAACAAATTAGTGTCTAAGGTAGATAAATAATAAGAAAAAAAACAATGATAAGATATATTTGTAATATCACCAGATTGCAGAGAACTATGTAAAATTTATTTACAAATAAATAATTTACACACTACCATGTGATCTTCACTGAAAATAAAACATTACTAAATAGCTAATTAATAGTTTACATGAATGTACTTTTATAGATATGCTCTGAAAAATTTAAATAATGCACTGCAACTTTAGGAAGAAAATTAAAAGATTGTTAAGGTGATAAAGTTTTATTTTTCATATAAATAGATTTTATCATAAAAAGGAGGTACCATTCCCATGAAAACACCAGCTTACTCTATAACCTGATTTGATAAACATTGACAATTTCTCTAATAATTATTTATTTGCAACAAAGCACCCACATATTTCTGCACTGACCAAGTGTATACAGTAGTAAACTTGCAAAAATAATTGCATTATCGCAAATATAGTATTTTACTGATCATATAGTTCAATGTGCAAACTGTAATTAGTATAAAATAAGGGACATTTTAAATACAATTGAGTGCTTATATAGTTACAGTATATTAAACATACAGTTGCAATGACTTAACTACAAAAGAAACAACAGCTATTTGTTCCTAAATTTGTCATTAAAAGTTGAATTTTTGTGCAACTCAGTCACAGTACTGGTTTTAAACTGCACACAATAAGCTTATCCCTCACTTGTACAATTTGCATATATTTACTAACACAAGATAGCATTTTTACTTTCATTGCAGTATAAAGTTTGATGTAGTTTAATTTTTAAATACAAGTTTTTGTATAAATAATTTATGTAGAACAAATTTCCATACATTTTCTTTGTACACATATATTTCTAATTCAGAACTACAGAATCAGTTAGTTTTGATCAGAAGCCTTTAATAATTACTTACACTCATGTTTTTTTATTGCTGCTTGCATTTTACTATTAATTATAACTCTTGTCCATATACAATACTGGAAATAATTATGTAAACTGTGAGGAAGAGGAGGAGATAAAATTACAAATACTAATGGGAATTCCACCCCTTTATCCTTCAAACATGAACTGCTCCAGAATGCAATCACATGCTGATAGTTTATGCTGTGTTTGGTTGTCATCCAACCAATCAGAAAATACCATACCAGTATAAAGCCTCTAAAAGTGCAGCCAGTCAAACTATGCCCAGTAGAAATAGTGTGTATAGTCAGGGCTCTAAAACATGAAATACATGACAAGCATGTAGAAATCAAATTCTACTGGTGAAGAAAATTCCAAGTGAAAAAATTGTCTCTATATTCTATGTTTCAATAGAAGCTTTACATAAGATATAAAGTGGGTACATAAAACTGACACTGTTAATAACAGAAGTGGTTGAGACATAAACTGATATGTTCCAAAATAGATTTTAAATATCTCATGGTAAGTTCTTTATGAGATAGACAACTGTTGAGTACTGTTCTTGCCAATGACCATACTGTAAATACATCTGCAAGTGTTGCTTCAAGAACAGCATGAATGGTCTCAATGAATGTGTAGCTGCTTGAAAACTACTGTTAACAAGAGGTAACCAAATCAAAAGTTGGAAACAAGCATCAGACAAAGTGAGTAAAGCTGGAGAAGAGTGCTCTTTTTATGTGAAATCAAGCGCTATTTGTTTAGTAACATTCGATTACAGTAAGTTTGCCAGTGGAGCATGGCAGGGATCAGTGGACATTTGGAACTGCATCTCAACAGCTTAATTGTTGACAAGTACAGGCAGATTATCAATTTAATTTTTGACAAGTGCTGGCAGATTATGATACATATTACTACTCCCTCAACAACACAACCCATTAGGCAGAAATTCATCTTCTAGCAAGGCAATTATCCCAATTAAGAACAGAGCAAATGTGATGAAATGATATCTTGACAGTAAAAAAGTCAATGGAAGACTCAAAACCATGGCTAGATCTGCACAAAGTGCCATATGAACATTCTTGAGGGTATATGGGATTATGTAAAACGGAGAAGAGCAAAAGGCAATTTGGAACCATATTCCACAATCATATATCTATAAATTATATGGAAGCTTGAAAATAAGATATAACGCTCTGTGTAAAGCAAAGATCTCACATATAAAATATGAGTGCATTGTACAACTTATTCATTTTTCCATTTCCTGTAATAATGTTTTATAACATTAATAAGTTGCCATTACTCCTCATTTTTAAATCCTGTATGAGTATTGGTTGTATATTTTCCATAATTATTATCATTACTGTATTGCAAGCTAAAGGTTTATCAGTGATAACGTCATCTTTTGTAAAATCAAACAAGAATATATATATATATATATATACAAACGTCAAAAATAGTCGGTTTGAATGAAAATCTACACGTACTGAAAGATGGAATAGATAACTTACGTCATAATTCACAAAATGGCGGCCATTACCGCCTGCGAATCTTGTATTAATCTAAATTTATTTTCTGTGTTAAATACTTCTGAAACAGTTAGAGAAATATATTTCTATTTACATAGTCTATAATATATAACAGCTCATATAGGAAAGATGGAGACATATATTTCATCATATGTTATTGTGGTTGCACATATGATAAAAGGAATAGGCAAAATATCATTGTGCTGCTTGTGCATTACATGTATACTACACCCACTTGGCTCAAACCTTTCGAGTTAAACCGTAGCAGTAATGTTACTGAGCCCTTTCTGGATGAAGCAGAACACCTTCACAGTGGATTAGATACACTTAAACATGTAGCGTATCTCAATCATTCCTTGCCGTTTTCACACACGTTTTGCAAATTCAACACTTCCGTACTCCAAGTCTTCCGTGGAGGACGGAATTGGAAACGTTTCGAAACGATGAACATTCCCTGCTAGTATCAATTCCGAACACCGCAGAGAACCATTCCAAGAAAGTTAATATCGTTTTCTCTGAGGTGTTAAAGCACAACTTTGGAGCACATGAACGAAGTGTATGTGCATGCCATTACATTTTTGTTTTGTTATTGTTTATGGTAGTTAGTATATTCAAGATTACCTACAGCCGTTTAGGCAAGATTTCCACTACAATTGTAATGTTTTGTAATGTGGTGAGCCAATTTAAGACCTTAATGACATCCATCAATACCTTTTTTTTTATACATTTATTTGTTTATATGAGGTTTTTGAAATGTGTATGTTAGGGTTCAATATAATTAAAATTAATAAAAGTCAGCTCGTTGAACTATAATTGTAAATAACCATACTATACAATATCCAGTGAAAGTTTAAATCCAGTGTACTATTCTCTTAAAATTCATAAATTGTTTTTCTCTATTTTTATATGAATGTAATCAGACACATATTAAACGACTTGTGAAAGATGAAATAAAAAGCACGATCAGTTGTTAAAAGTATAGACTATCAATTTGTATAGCGTTACACGTTTTAATAACAGTAACTGGTAAACTATAATTATAATAATATATAGTGACTAAAACTATCAGTTATGAGCAATAGGGATTTACAAACTATCAAGTAATATTTCTGATATTTTGCGAGCAAAGAGAACAACGGTTAGTGTCATAAAAACCTACGTTTACCCTAAAATATTTCGATTCCTTATCGACAGCTACTTAAGTTAATCACACCAGTGATCCAAACTCTACCTTAGATATGCAAGAAAGTGAGAGGAAGACGAGATCAACAGTGTTTATATCATGATTATATGATGGTCATTGAACCTCGTCTAGTACGAGAGAGAAAAGTTGTCACAACTACTAGATAAGTGTGGAAAGTCATCGAACAAATTATTAAGTAATGACATCATCAGTGAAGGTGATTAAATCACTATTTCCGTTCCTTATCGTGAGCAGTAATTGTACAATAAACACAACTTTAATATTTTCTTCCTTTAAGAATCTGTGATTTCTTGTATTATTATTATACTTTTGTAAAGCTGCAGAACTTTAGAAAGAGACCTTTTTAAATAAAATCTTAGTTTTAAGAAAATGTAGATTTATTTATTACCTTGACCTTCCGAAAACAACTTCGTGGAAGTAGTAAAGTCGTTTAATATGGCTAACTAATCTCCATATTTGTTACTTCTATTAACTAAATCTCCGCTGATATATATATATTAAAATAGTAATCAAAGCAAAATCTGACACTGTACAAACAAAAAACTGTGAACACTAAACTTAAAATATTAGTTCTATAGATTTAATTATTTTTACTATTTCATTCATAGATAAAATTTCAAAAGTATTTTCATAACAAGAAAGTTACCAAACTTTTCTTGATTCTGCAATTCAAAGAACTTGTGAGTGAAAGTAAGGAACTATATATTTTATAAACTGTTCTACACCTGCCATATCCAGTACCGACGAAGCCTTTCAAGGATCATCAGGAGACCGACTGGGATACAAAAGACAGGGCAGAAGTCTAGGTGCTACTGATAACATCAACTAAATGAACAACGACTATTATAGTGTGAACTAGATAGATTAAGTAAGCGAATTGTAATTATTATCAGCTTTAAGTCATTTGTAAATCGGATTTTTTTTTGGGGGGGGGGGGTAAGATTAATATCGAAATATTATTTATTTATTTTACTTTTAGCACATATTGTCTTATGTCTTAGATTTCGTTTTCAAAAATTTCATACTCAAGGGGAATTAGGACAATTCGTTATCCTGTTCAATTTGGTTACTTACCGAAGGCACATTTCTTGTGTTCTCAGAACCTACGGTGCTGACGCCCAAACCATCTTTCGTAGCTTTATTGTCACTTTTTTTCGCTTTCTTAGCTTTAGTTTCCAGATAACGTTGCTTCAAAAGAAGTGTGTCTTGACGTTGTTGGAGATTCCAACCATTCGAAGTTTGGTCATAACGAATTAAATTCCCATTTTGGTTACGTCGATAAAGATCTATCCGACGACGTAAGCGATCAACCACTGCTTGTCTTTTAGGGGGAAGGATGTCCCCCATGCCTTCCTGTAGTGGCCCCACAATGGTGACTCTCAACGAATGTCACTCAGTGGTCAAAAACACTGTACTATACCTTCGTTCAGCTTCAACGATTAGGTGTGACTGACCGGCCTTTCTCGCTTCCTAGCCCTAGGTCACTCACGAGACCGTAACGATTTACCAAAAAAAATATGCCTTGCTTTAACTTCTCCGACTTTGAACAGTTTATGTCAGCCCCGAAGCAATAAATAGATAAAGATATATGTATATAATTAAAAATAAATTTAAATGACAGTCTTCAGGCCCAGGTGAGGAGTAGATTATCTTCTTCACACAATTTGTACAAATTATCTGGATCCTCACAGTAGTCACATAAGCCTTGATAAGGTAAGTGCCACTTATTTACGTTCTTGCCACGGCCCCAGTACTCATATTATAATTTCTAGTCAACTTCAAGCACAACGGATGAGCACAGTACCTTACTCTTTCGATAAAGTATACAGGTTGTCCGATCGACACAGAGGCGCCTCTTGCTGTCGAGCTACTTAGCCTCAGACATGAGGCAGGATGGGAACCAATGACGTCTAGCAGGGTTAGCTGTGGGGTGCAGCTGGTGAAGTAGCGTCCCATCACCGACAGCCATGCCAATCGCCGGAGCTCATGGAGTACAAAGGCATGAATCTCGATTCAAAGTTGCCGAAAAAAATAAAATTCATGGTAAAGCACTGACCAACTTATTACGTTTCTACAAAATCCAACTATACCAATAAAAGTTATAACAGTGGTTCATAAAACTTTAAACTTACTTGAACGTACACAAACTACTCCTACAATGCATTACATCTACATCACACGATCGCACTCACGACCCAACAGTTTCAAATTCAACCATAACACATACAGCAACTGCCGCTTGGGACCGCCACTTGCTCTGCTTCTCACGCTTGACTTGTTCTACATCCGGGAGGGTCTACTTCATAAACTTTGAAAATTTCAACGTTGCGATTTACAAACAAAACCTCGCTGTTTCGTGCATTCGACAAGGAGGTCTATGTAACTTGGCTAAACCAGATAAGAAATGAATAGACACAGAATATGAATCCAACCATCAGTGGAGGTCTTTTATATATAAAAAAAAATAATGTAATTATAAGAATATATAAAATGAATTGTTAAGACACACACACACACATATAGATACACATACGCGCACGCGTGTGTGTGTGTGTGTAAAATGAAGAGAAAATACAAGAAATAGCATAATATTTACCTTATGGTATGTTTATTTTTGAAGTTAACACACAAAGCTACACAATGGGCTATGTGTGCTCTGCCCACCACGGGTATCGAAACCTGGTTTCTGGGGTTGTAAGTCCACCGACATACCGCTGTGCCACTGGGGGGGGGGGTATGGTTTGTGTTTATTTTTACGTTGCATCTAAACCTATTGCAATGTTATCTAGTGAGATCTGTTCAGACAGACAGACTGAAGACACAATCACAGAGTTGTAGTTAGATTAATACATTCGTTTGTGAGAGATAAAAGCAGGTTCTATTGACAACAGAAACTATTATTGGCTAGGTTATAACTAATAATAAATTTTATAGTTTTTATTTTGTTGTTGTTGTTTTTAATCATCTAAAAAAAAACAAATTCCATGTTTTAAGCTTAATCATTAAACTATTTAAATGTTCAACTGTATACGAAATATTTGTTTTACTTACAACCTTAACAACCTAACCACGTTTCTTAACTTTATAATCACACACAAAAGAGACTGAACAGAAAAAATGTACGTAAAAACTTTGTGGTCAGTCATGCTATATGTATATAGGATTAATACCTTCCTACTATTACTTTTGTGGAACATTCAGGTCAAACTTCCAACGAGCGATGGAATAAATCCGCTGAATAACAGGTAATTAGACAAGATATCTATAACAGAGTATTCTGAATTTCTCCGAATAAATGAGTTCGTGAGAACGAAATAGAGATTGTACACAACTGAACACACAAATGAACAATCTTTATTATATCACTAATACAAATGAAGTGTTTGTACTTGTTTACTAGACGGCAGACAGTTGTTTTCACTGGATCAGAGATAACTTCTGTCTTACTAACTTGGTTGAAATCATCTACAAAATTGTTCAAACCTAATTTAATGTTACTTCAAAGATAATGTCAAAATTACCAGCAGCGAGTAGCTCTACTCACTTGCTGGTCATTCTCATTCATACTTAAGGGAGGTCATAACCTCGAGGCATCATCTGATCTACCAGTGCAGGACAGTGCTGTTGACATCCTTGCACAATGTGCAGCGTTACAACCATACCTCCTACTGAGAGACTAGTTGTTACCCCAATATAATGACAAAAAAAAGGCAAATTAACGACTTTCTTGACCACCTGTTATGCGAAAACCGCACACACCAAAATAACTGACAAATTCCGAAAATAAAACTATATTAAAATAAGGAGGTAGAAAATGTATGATATTCTTACATACCACACTTTAATTAATTAATGACATTTATATATTTAACATTTGAATAACATGAAAAACTTAGTCATATCGATTTTAATCATATTTAAAATTTTAATGTTATCAATGTTACATTACCCCTTTTTACATGTTTTATATCATTTTTAATTCTAAATAATTAAAACGGATATCTCTGACGTCTTGATTTTTCAATAATGCAAAACTCAATATTTAGTTGCTGATACAAAATTGAGTTTCAAAGCAATCAAACATTTAACAAAAATTTTAAGTATTGCTATGCATGCCCATGTTGCTAACGGAAGTTAAAAGTGTAAGGAGGACCAACATCATATTTATGATGCGTCATTTCCGCTAGAAAGCGATACTATCAAACTTACGTAGACGACGACGATGCAAATATTCTTATAATATTCCTCACTTCTAGGTTTTATACTTTGATAAATTACTGAATTACAAACTTCACGTATTTAGTTTGCTTACAATCATTCCTAATGATAGTTCACTGGCAAGTCGGTGTTCAACGACTATACTACAGATAAAAATGAAAAGCTATTAGTTTTCAGGATTAATAATAACTGGCATAGTGTTATTAATATAAAATAAGTTGATCGTCAATGGATTACGTTTCTAATTGATCGCATATTAAGTTCAAATTAAAAACGAGGCTCAGTCATGACCATATCGTATGGTGAGTGTAGTTAATATGCTGAGACCATCACTTTCGTCATATATGTTGAAGGTGTACAAAATTAATCTGGTGGTCAGTGAAATGCTTTATTAACAAACACGTAAATTTGAATGAATTTTAAAATTAAGACAACCTGACTACATAGCTAAGAGATAAAATACATGCATACTTGCCCAACCTTGTCGAAACGTTGTACATTTGCTGTAATGTTAAACTTATATTAAGGTTTTTCTTCATTACCCATTCAAGCCGTCTCCAAGCGTTATTAACAATCTGGAACGTTTCCACAATTGTGTTGCAGTTTTGTGATTAATTTGTACTTTTAGTTTATGGACTTATTCGACGTTCAGGATTCTTGTAAATTGACGTATGTCAAAGCGGGAATGGTATTGCGCGTAAAAAGATCTTAAACATTAAAATATATG